CCCTCTCTCCCTCTCCCCCTCTCTCCCTCTCCCCCTCTCTCCCTCACGCTCTCACGCTCTCATTCGCCTGGCTCGCCCTGGCCTCTCAAAGTGTTTTTGCTATCGGGGGGGGCGGCTAGTTTTGTGCAAGCTAACTTTTCGCTTACATTGAAAAGAAGCGAACTTTTTCAATTTGCAAAGGATTGGCGAGAGGAAGCGAGTGAGGAAGGGAGAAACGCATGGCCCCAGTGATGTGTAGGCTTTAAAAGTACGCGGGCCCCCGCGGGATGGGCGGAGGGGTCGAAGCGCCTCATTTGAGGTTCTGTTTGACCGAGTTGGGCTCGCCGCCCTTCTGCACGATTCGATTGGTTCCCACTAATAGCTTGGCCACCGCGGATGTGCCTCGTCGATAACCCGTGTAGATTTACGTATAGGATTTTGTGTAGATGTAATTAATAAGAATTACTTTGGAGGCGGCCCACCCGTTTTACTCTTACGATATAAAAACAAAAGGTAGGACTCGGCGCATTTTAAGGACTCCCCCGTGTGGGTGTGGAATTTCAGGCTTTAGTGTGCCACACCGGAAAAACAATGGTAGGACTTATTAATGCCTTTTTGGGAGTGTCAAATTGTTATATGCCGGTATAGAAGTCGTATAGAAGGCACGACATTCTCCAAAGGTATCAAAATTTAGTACCTTTATTGGTTACTTTTAATGCCTTTTTAGGGGTATTATAACTTCTAATGCCTTCGCAAAGGTATAATATACTCCTACACTCCAAGTTTTTCCGGTGCAGCGATAGGTAAATTGAAAGTCGGTTGTCAGTAGCGTGGTTGGTGGGGTTGGGAGCTGAGGGTAGGGCGATGGGGCGAGGGGAGCGGAGGAGGGGGTGGGGGCAGCGGCGGACACCCGTGGAGCAGTCAGTGGCTTGGTGCCAAAGAGGGGCAACCAACATGGCGATTACCATTAAGAGGCAAATTCCTTTACATTCAGTGATTTTTATTTTTCCCACTACTGTTTTCGTCAGAGAGGTTTCCGGAAGAGTGGTTTGGCGCTAAGGGGTGCGGGACTGGGGGGCCGCCCCGATGGTTGTGATACGGAGGGGTTGGTTTGGCAACAGAGGCGGTGGGTTGAGACCTTTTCCTTCTCTTTTTTCCCCGTTTCCTTTCTCCCTCAGAGCTCACCGGCAAATCCCACCTAATGGGGCGTTGGAGACATTCACGTTGTACGGCCGACTGGGAAAGGTTTGGCGGTAGGGCATTGGGCAGGAGGAGTTTGTGTGCGTCTTAAACAGCAGCCGATAAACAAAGTCCGAATGTGAAATAAAATTCAATCATGTTTCTTTTCTTGCAGACAAAATCGTGCGGGTCAAGGACGGCAAGTACGGCCACGTGAACCCCGACGCGCCGGCAGGCTGGGACGGCATGATGGGCGAGCTCATCCGAATGGTAAGAGGGACCAGTCGACATTTTCCTCCCTTTTCCTCGATCGCGGCAGTGCCTTTTACGCAGGGGGAGCAACAACATCCTTTTTGAAAGTTGTTGCCAATCCCTTCCAAGATCGTTGCAGCGGTTGCCACGACTAGAGCAGCACTTCGGCGGCATCGGTCCGTCAAAAGCCCCTCCGCCTCCCCCCAACCACCTCTCTCTCTCTCTCTCTCTCTCTCTCTCTCTCTCTCCCTACTTCTCCCCTCTCCCCCTCTCTTTATCTCTGTCTCTTTCCATAAGGCAGTGGCCTTTGAGAGAGAGAGAGAGAGAGAGGCGGGGGCGATCCCCTTGCACTCTCCCTCTCTTGGCACCATCTTTACGATCATTTCCTATTTGACTTTCGTCGGAGTTTTCTCCCCACCGAGGCATCGAATGTGGGGAAGGAAGGGCACTAAAGGGACCCCGTTCTCAATACACGGATTATGCAAAGGGGCGGCGTGGAGTGTGAGAGAGAAGAGAGAGCAAGACAGAGCGGGTGTGTTAGTGCGAACTACGGGGTGGCGGGTTCGTGTGGAGAGAGAGAGAGAGCTTTTCAAGCCAAGAGGCCACTCTCTCTCCCGAATTCTCAATCTCATGACCTCGCTTCAAGTCTTCATCGTCGTATCCAACCCCCATCTATTTCT